GAGAGAGAGAGAGAGAGAGAGAGAGAGAGAGAGAGAGAGAGAGAGAGAGAGAGAGAGAGGATGGAAAAGAAATAGCGATGGAGGAAACTACAGAGAAAGAAAAACAACAAAATCAATCTCATTCATGCCAGTGTCACCTATGCTTTGTTGGCTTTCCTGCCGGAGTTTCAATAGAAGAATAATTGATCAACTAACTGGTTTACTTAATCAGCAAACAGCCAGAATGATTTTATTTTTATTTTTTATTTTATTTTTGCTTCAGCAACAGTTGTTCCCAGTTTCCCCCGCATACAAACGACACAGAGCAAAAAAAGGAGAGCATCTTACCTAGGGTACGGACCAAACAGAGGAATTCTACTCCAGGCGGGAAGCATAGGCGGAATAAATTAATATCAACATGATTAAAATTAACACACGCACATACGGGCTCGTTTACGGGTTAGTGGAGTTGGTAGGAGGCACATAAAGCAATGCTAAAAGGAAATAAAAGAAACATAAAAAACAGTAATCTACATTACACTGCAGGTAATTGATATAAATATCTGGCTTAACTGGTAATGTCTCATTAAACTCTATGTTTTACATGAATAATGAGGCAAACAAATGATTCAATGTGAAAAACATTGACCTGATTAAAGCAGATGTATTTGGACTGAAACACTTGGAGGCTGTTCAGACTTGTAATAATTAATCTGTTTCAGGTGATTTGACTGGAAGTAGCACCGACACACGTTCCCGCTTGGTGGTAAATGTCAGTTATCTGTGTTTTAAGTTGTACACACATTTACTTTATTTTGACATTGACAAACTATCCAAGGTCCTGAAAGTTCTGGATCTTTTCATGACCTTGGACAGTGTAAAAGACTGAATAAACTGTCCAAGGTCCTGAAAGTGCTGGAATGTTTCAGGACTTTAAACAGTGTGAAGGACTGAAGGAACTGTCCAAGGTCCTGAAAGTGCTGGAATGTTTCAGGACCTTGGACATTGTAAAAAACTGAAGGAACTGACCAAGGTTCTGAAAGTGACGGAATGTTTCAGGACCTTGGGCAGTCTAAAAGACTGAAGGAACTATCCAAGGTCCTGAAACATTCCAGCACTTTCATGACCTTGGACAGTGTAAAAGACTGAAGGAACTGTCCAAGTCCTGAAAGTGATGGAATGTTTCAGGTCCTTGGACACTGTAAAAGACTGAAGGAACTGACCAAGGTCCTGAAAGTGATGGAATGTTTTAGGACCTTGGACACTGTAAAAGACTGAAGGAACTGACCAAGGTCCTGAAAGTGATGGAATGTTTTAGGACCTTGGACAGTGTAAAAGACTGAAGGAACTATCCAAGGTCCTGATAGTGCTGCAATGTTTCAGGACCTTGGACATTGTAAAAGACTAAAGAAACTGAACAAGGTCCTGAAAGTGATGGAATGTTTCAGGACCTTGGACAGTGTAAAAGGCTGAAGGAACTGTCTAAGGTCCTGAAAGTGTGGCTATGTTTCAGGGCTTTAGATCAGTGGTTCCCATTCATGCAGTTAATTAACTTATTGCTTATCGCGACAGGCCAACACTCAATTTGTTAGTGACTCCACAGAGCTCATAAAACTTTTGGCCAAAAAAGAAAATTAAAACGTCTCTTCAGAATTTTAGTAATGACTGCTGTTTATCTATCTTTCATGAACGAGCTGAGCAAACTGCTGCTTGTTTGGGGTCATGTCAGTTGTCAGGAGGTCCTACAGCTCGGCTCAGGACTGATTGTGTTCAGATGATAGGGGTCCTGACCACCTCCGAAGGCGGTACGAGCGAAAACGTTTTCAATGCGCACTGAAGTAGTTCAGTGTTTACCGCTGTCYGAATGCAATCCACTAAAACGGAATTTAGCAACAAATCCAAACAGCCTCTTAGAGATTGAGAGGAGACATTTACTCTGCAAATGACATCACTTAACACAATACCATTTCTGAAAAGGAGYGTTGCAATGTAGAAACCAACACACACAAGCATTTGCACACACGGAGCATGCAGAAACACAAATCTGGAAACAGAAGGACAGAATGAATAAGGAGGTGTGACGCAGGATGAAAGTGATTGAATGCCCACAACTTACCTCTCATTTTGCTACCAAGAATTATTTTTCAATACAGAAATTCCTATTGCATTTATTTAAACAAAAAATACCTTGTTCACTGAAAAGAAAAGGTGCTCAAAGGTCCAAACAATTAAGTGTAATTGTTAGATTTGATTCAGTTTATTCCTTTTGATGCTTCTTTTTTTTTAATAAACAAGCCCCTCATCTGTGTTTTCAGGTTCTTTCACTGACTCACATGCTGTTGAAGAGTTCCCTGTACGTCTCGTCTCCTTTGCCCTCAGACATCAGGCTGTCCAGCTTGTCAATCAGCTTGGCTTCCACCTGCGAGGAAGAAGCATTAAAAAAAAAACACTTTCAATACAGTCAACCAGGAAACCAAGAGATATTTTTGTCAAAATGAGTCATGTCGGAAAAAAAAAATCAGTTTTCTCTGACAAAGTAAAGACTTAATCAGATCTGCTGATCTGAAAAGCATTGAAAAACACAAACAGAGCATAAAAACATCTAACCTACAGAAACATTAAGATGGTTACACTACAGCATTTTGGCATACCCGACAAAGATTTGGGTATCTGAGGAGTTTTACATCAAAAYTCCTTAAAAAAACATTTCTATGGCACGGCATGAAGACCAAAATTAAGACTAATGCACAACCAGCTGTTGCTACATCCTTGTAGCAGGAGGCTATATCTATTCCTAAACCAGCTATTGATCTGATTTTTGATAGAGAAGAAGACTATTTATTTGTGTTAGCATCAGAGAGGCTAGTGACTAGCATGCCTAGGCTGCTTGCCTACTTTATTAGACACTAACTTTTTTTGAATAGAGTAAACTTTATCCATCCATCCATCCATCCATCCATCCATCCATCCATCCATCCATCCATTCATCCATTATCTATAACCGCTTCTTCCTTTCAGGGTCCCGAGAGTCACTGGTGCCCATATCCAGCAGTCACTGTGCGAGGAGTGGGGTACACCCTGGACAGGTCGCAAGTCCATCACAGACGAAAACTTTATCTATAAACTAAATTAAACTAAATTCCGTCTAAGGAACACCTCAGTGCATGTCGCTTGTAGGTTTTGTATGTCAGCCATTTTTTGATGAGAAAGGTTTCTTTATTCACAAATGTTTGTGTCTAATAAAGTAGGTGAGCAGCCTAGGCATGCTGGTCGCTAGCCTCTCTGATGCAAATTCCAGCTTATCAATGCTAGTCGCTAGCCTCTCTAATGCTAATGCCAGCTTATCAATGCTAGTCGCTAGCCTCTCTGATGCTAATGCCAGCTTATCCATGCTAGTCGCTAGCCTCTTCAGTGCTAATGCCAGCTTATCCATGCTAGTCGCTAGCCTCGCTAATGCTAATGCCAGCTTATCCATGCTAATCGCTAGCCTCTCTAATGCTAACACCAGCTTATCCATTATAGTCGCTAGACTCTCTGATGCTAACACCAGCTTATACACACTAGTCGCTAGCCTCTCTGATGCTAACGCCAGCTTATATATGCTAGTCGCTTGCCTCTCTAATGCTAACGCCAGCTTATTCATGCTAATCGCTAGCCTCTCTGATGCTAACGCCAGCTTATCCATGCTAGTCGCTTGCCTCTCTAATGCTAACGCCAGCTTATTCATGCTAATCGCTAGCCTCTCTGATGCTAACGCCAGCTTAACCATGCTAGTCGCTAGCCTCTCAGATGCTAACACAAATGAACAGTCTCCTTCTCATTTGTCAGAACCGCCCTCTCAGTTAGTGGTACCGGTCTATCATTAATCAGATCAATAGCTGGTTTAGGAATAGATACAGCCTCCTGCTACAAGGATGTAGCAACCGCTGGTTGCACAATAGTCTTAATTTTGGCCCTCAAAACGCTCCATACATTTGCTTAGATAGTTTCTCGACTAAGAAGTGGTTCAAGTTTCCAGATTATTTTCACATCACTTTTAGGAAGTGGTCTGACCAGCGGCGCACCTGCTTGAAATTTCCACTGCGTCTCTGCTCCCAGTCCATCATGTCATGGAAGATGGGGATCATGACATTCCTCAGATCAGGCTGAGGCACCAGGGTCACCTCCAGGAAGGGTCCGATCATTGCTGGGATGAAGTTCAGCTTGTGCTCCCCTGGAGTAGAGACACGTTTCAAAGCAAAGGTCAGCTTGACCCTGAGCAGAGTGTTTATATCAGAAACTGTTTCACCCACTCTCCACAGCTGCTCCCCATTTTTACAGCCAAACTAAAGTTTTATAAAACTCTTGATTTAGTAAAAAGAAAAATTTWTTAGTCTTTGCTTTGTTCAATCTCACCTAAATTCTGCCACATGCTGAAGATCTCACAGCCCATCATCACCCTCATGTCTCCGTATCTGCGTGATGACATGTTAGGAATGTAAACATCCTGTACACTCTGTTTTTAACACATGTAGAAATAACATGTGATAAATAAATAAAGCCTTACTTTTCCAGGATTTTCTTCCGTTTGGAGGGAGAAAAGGACTCCAGCTGAAGACATGGCTGATTRATGAATATTACAGACAGATAGAAATACGAGTCCCAAACCTGAAAATGGCAAAAAGAAACTGAATTTAATTATCTTTAGTATTTATCAAAGGTTACGATTCATTAATATGTTAGCTGCTGTAGATAGCTTTTCCAATGGCCACAAATTGGAGAAACTGAACTAATMCTGGCTGACAGGCTAAAGACTAGTCCAAATGAGGTGAAGACCAAAAAACATGACATAGAGCTTTATACTGTTTAAAACTTCACAGGGATTGCAGTTATTTAGATCATTCCACCATTCTTTGCTAATAAAATTAGCAGCTGGAGCACCTTTGGACAAATACTGAATAACGATGTAAATATTATTTGCATAGCTATGTTTTCGTACGGCAACAATTTGCTCTGGTTCTACGAACCATGAGCTCATTAGTCTTGTCAGATTTAAACTCCATTTCACCAAACTGAGGTCGTTCAAAGAGCTTCCTGCCACAGGGAAGATGTGAATTGATCATAACCTCAAAACTCCACCTCAGAAATATCAGAATTATTCTCTTATTAATTATAAATTTACTATTAACCTGGAGGATCCTTTTAGAGCTAAAGCTTGGGTTATACTTCAATGCGAACTGAGACGGCGTGTCGGTGATTACGTCATTTTGGACGTCTTTTCCCTGACTGAGTATCCACACGTTTCAGACACTAGCCCCGCCCACAGCCTTCCTGATTGTTCGATTTTTCCGGTGCGCAATAAGTTCATTTATTCAGATAGTTATGATAACAATAAATTTAGTCTGTTTTTGCTTTAACTGGCAGCTTGAGCATTTCAATCACGACTTTGGGTTCAACTTGTGTTTTTGTCGGCTGCCACAACAACTGAAGAAAACTGAGAAACGCTTTATAAACATCATTTTGGCTGGAACAAGTAGTAGTAAAGGCATAGCGCCCTACAAACTGCACTTTATGCCGATGAAGGAGGATCGTAAACTAACATGGCTGCAGCTTTAAATCTGAAAAAACCACCAAAGAGAGTTTGCTTGCTTTTTTCATTTTATCAACAAAAATCCCAGGAACATACACTCCGATCCAGAGCTCTAGCTAGGCTAAGGCTGAAGGCGTCTCATCTGAACCTTTGTGAGTCAGACAGCTTCTAGCAATATCAACTAAAACCCTGAATCTGTACCTGGTGAGTTAAACTGTAAATGTTGTGTTTCCCCTGTTGCTATTTAAAGGCACAGTGTGTAGGATTTTGTCAATTCTTTTAGCCAAAATTGAGATAATCACTAATGACTAATAAAAAACATGTCTAATCATTGCAGACAAAGACCTTGTTTTATTATTTTTACCTTATAAAAASCTGTTTATATCTCCATGGTCGCGGGTCGCCACTACAGGCAGCCGCCATCTTGTCTACGAAGGCTCATGAAGGACAAACTGCGGTGGCGGCGTCAAAAACGGTTTTAGTTGTAATACTGTAAATGTAATATTTGTTGTCTGTCATTGTAGCTGGGATAATTTTACTTATTAAAGCTCATAATCTTACCACTTGAAACATCACTAGTCCTGAAGCTGCTGGTAGACATCGCAGTTGGAATTATCAAAGGTTTTTGACACCTGAGAGACACCGTAGCAACTCCTTTGTGTTTGGAAGCGGGGGGTGGGGGTGGGGGGAGGACCAGGGAGGACGATTCAACCACTAGATGTCGCTGAAAACAACAAATCCTACACACTGTGCCTTTAATCGTGCAGTTCTTTGATTTCACTGAATGAAAGCCTACGGTGAATGGCGTTAGCATTGGCGGTAGCTACTGTTAGCCTGGTTGTTTAGCATGCTATTTGCAGCTAAGTCTTAGATTTAAAGAAATACTTTGCCTATGGTTAGGTATGCTGGCAAAACTATATAACTGTCTTAATTTAACTGTCTCAATTCTGAGTAAGCTCGGAWTAATAAACAATCCTCTTCTCAATTACGTGCTAAAATATGTTGTTTACATCATGGCAGGATTAAGAYGAGCAGCGCAGAGGGGCTATAAAAGCATCCGGTTTGTTTAAATAAAAAATATGCTTAAAAGGTTTTAAGAGGCAGTTTATTTATTTTTAACATGTATTTAAAATGACTGCAGCTGTATGAAACCCTCCAGTTCATCTCTAAAAGTTACTAGCGAACTAGTAGCACCCAGTGAATTTTATGTTTAGAATAAGGGGGAGAAACCGTCTAATCACAAGACTTCTATAAAATTATTACAATTCTGAGGGGTTTATGAACATTTTACGTACAGAACTGTTGACATTTATGATTTTGCATGTGTCTGTAATCGGGGAAAGACGGGGTAGCTGATGTTAGTAGTTGCTATTAGCTAACATCGGGACATAGCTTCGTCAGTCCGTGAGCAGTGACGGCTGAGCCACTGATAAAGAATTGTCCTTGCCGCTTTTTAAAACATCCTTACAGTATATAAACCTCCAATATATGATCATCTACGCCAAATTTAGATGAAAAATGCTTTGATAAACAGCGATGGTGTATCCTCGTAATTGTAAACAGCAGCCAAGTGGAAATATGGAACCCGCTTCCGCTATGAATTATGGGTGGTGGCTCGAAATCAGGAATACTGTGGATAAATGGGCTGAAGATGTGGCAGGTCATAAATTATCATAAATCCTTCCTCTGCCCTCCCACAGCTCATATAAGTTTATAAACAACGCAGAAGTTCTGACTGGGAGCAATGTACACGACGGCTGTCACCGGGGGATAGCAGCGGGAGAGCAGACGGAAGTTACAGTTTAACATAACTTTTTATCACTCAGCAGGGGGGGAACAAGACGTGCGACTCGACATATAAACCAGCCTTAAGGCTCAAACACTAAAGCTCTATGACTTGTTCCTACCTTATAATCAAACTTGTCATTGAGGAAGTTTTTCCTCAGAGCRTCAGAAAGATAGAGGACAGTTGTGATGATGACACTGAAAGAAGAGGACAGAAACAGAGTCACTTTCACCGATTTACACTCTTTATGATGAAAAAAATATCAACACTGTTTGTTCTCAGTTTACGTTTTATTTATTTATTTATTTTTTTGTGTGGTCTTACTTGTTTGTGACCAGCCTCATGACAGTCCAGTCCTTAGGAAACATCTCTGGTCTTATAAGAATCCTGAAGACGGTGAAGATATGAAGAAGGAAGTCCTGCAAAAGGAGACACCATATTTGGACTATTTCCTGTCTGTAAAGCTACACTTTTAAATGCACAGACTTTAACACAACTTGGATGYGAGTATCATCTCGTGCAAACACAACTAAACAGAAATAAGTAAAAGCAGAGGACGTGTCGGTCTCACCCTCAGGTCGTCTTTGTTGCTGAATGCCTGCAGCAGCTTCTGGTAGTGTTTGTCACTCATCTGTCGCAGAAGAGCCAATAAACACGCCACAAACTCTCCCTGAGGGAAGAAAAAGAAGTTATCTTTAGAGCTGCTCTGAGTTAATAACGTTTACAGAAATAGCTAATAAAGTTAGCAAGAATGTTAGATTGATAGTTGTAACAAATCTGCCAGCTGTCAGTTATCAATCTTAGAGGACTGATGGTTATCTTTGCCGTGACTCAATCCCAAACGGAACTAGAGAAATAGCATTTCCTGTGAAGATGCTAGTGAATACTTATTGCTGAAAACTGAAGCTGAAGGCTAAAGTTTAATGCAGGTTCAGTAGAAGCGTGAAGGAAGCATAAAAAAGCTCAAATTTGCAGAAAGAAACACAAAAAATAGAAATTAGCACGAGAATAGCAGAAAAGAGCAGAATTATAGCTGAAATAGCAGAAAAAGTTAAAATTTGCATAAAAATAAGCTAAAGGTAGCATCCACAAGTTGAATTCGATTCAAATTCAAAAATACTTTATTGATCCCAGAGGGAAATTAGGTATAATTTGGGATAATAATTTAGCATAATTTGGTGAAAGTGTTGTAAAAACTATAAATTAGCAGGAAAACAGYATAAAGGTACAAAAAAGTGACAATTTGTTATTAAATAAGATTGTGGAACAGCATGGAAGATGAGGTTAAAAATGCCTGATCCTTGTATATATTGATAAAAACGAGTATTCTGAAGAAATATGGAGAATTATAAGTGAATTCATGCTAATTGTTTTTTGAATTGATGTCTTTTTATTTTTATTTCATTTTTGAATGTTTTAAGTTGTTTTGATTTTTGTTGTATTTTTACTTTTCTTTTGAACATATTTTGGGTATTAAAAAAGGGGCATATATTATAAGATTTATTCTTCTTCTGCTGCCTTTCATCAGTGATTCGTTGCCCATCCAAGTCATCTCAACTTTGCCATGCTTCTCCTCCTGCATACTTTGTCCTAGAGCTGCCAATGTAATTTAAATCTGTAAAGCTCCTATGCCAAATGATGGCTATGCATTTTGGTGCCTGTAAAACGTATAGTTTTTTAAATATTAATGTTTAATAAATTATAATGGCAGTCAATAGAGCCTTGCTGATGTGACGGGCACAAGCTGGTTTAGAAAACATATTTGATCCTGGTCAAAGTTCATTCTGCAAGTCCAATGCTGCAGGCAAAGCCGTGCTGCAATGACATGCTACATGGCAATGCACACTTGTTTTTACATCGTAAAAACCCATGTCTAGTTTCATTTGATTTTATTTTGATTGCATGTTTTTCTGTACTTTGTTAATCAGTGTTACAAATGAAATGAATAAAGAACTACTACTACTACCACTAAAAATAGCTAAAACAGCCAAAATGTRTAGCAAAACAGCTAAAATGCAGCTGTAAATTCTTAAATGAGCATAAGAAAGCATAAAGAGCAGCTGAACTGAGCAGAAAAAAGCTGAAATAGCCACAAAAATGCTAAAAAAAACTTTAGCTAATAACAGCTAAACATTAGCTAAAATTGCAGCAAATAGCTGAATATAGCAGAAAGCAACTGTAAAAATAGTACATAGCTCAAATTAGCAGATCGATGCAGAAAAAGGCAGAAGGAAGCAGAATTATAGCTGAAATAGCAGAACAAAGCTAAAATTAGCAAAAAAAATGCTAAAATTAGCAGTTAAAAAGAGCAGAACCAGAAAAGGTGCTGCAAAGATTTAGAAACATTTTTAGGGATTTTAAAGAAGTTGAAAACAGCTCCATTCATTTTCAATGGGGAAAATGTGGCCGAAAAGGTGAAATAGCTAAAAAAGTAGAAATAGCTGAAATAYCAAAAGTCATAGCCRGAATGTCTTGAAGAAGCTGAACGTTTTGCTATATGAATTCCTAAAATAGCACAAAAATTGCGGACCGAGATGCGTGCTAAAARACGCATGGAAGAAAACAATTATCTCAATAGTGTGTATGCGCTTTCACACAATAATTGCGAAGCGTTCACACAATAAACTCCACACACAGTGACATCCTGGAACTGTAGTCTCATGGCAGGTCCGGCAGGCTGAGGCCGGTTGCTGATTTCCAGGATGGTTCTCAGTAGAACTCCCAGCAGGCTCTCCACAATCAGCTCCACTTCCTCTGACACCGCAGGCTCCTAAAACACAAACACAGGTGACAATATAAACAGGACAATCCTTCCCTTAACAAAAACAAGAACAACAAAAACAACAACAACAAAAAAATCATTAAATGTTCCCAAAATGTGAATGTAAAAAGTCTGAGTCCAATTTCTAATTGAGCTACACAAAAATTCCCTAAAGTTTTCTGGACTAATTTGCATTTTTTTTCCCCGCCAGCCAGCCTTGAATGCCAACCAAACGCTGCTCTGATTCAGCCAAAAACTAAAAGTCCTGCTAGCAAATCATTTTTTTCATCTTAATTTTAAAGCATCTTCAGGCAAAAGCAGAATTAAGTTTCAGTGTTGCCTGTATCTGTCCAAGTTCACAAAGGAGGAGGAAATCAAGGACGAAGGGGGAAAAAAGACAGAATACAAAGGAGAAAAGGGAGCTGAAAAAGAGCAGTGTGAGTGAGAGCATCTCTGTCTTGTTTTTGCTTCTGACAAAACAGACAGGTCTCGCAAAAAAAAAAAAAAGGGCAGGATAATGAGAGGGATTCTCTGAGGCACACTGGCTGCCACTAGCTGTCACCTGCCTTTAAATATGTTGCCACTCCGTGCTGAGCCGGGTGTCCTTCTCGCTGCATTTACCGTTAGCCGCCTGTCTGGCAGCTAATAGCGCTTTCCAGGCAGCCTCACCTTTCTCGCACACAAATCAGACAGAAAAGTCTCTTCGACAATCCCCACTGCTAAATTGATGAGCCTCATTAGTGAGCTGCACAACTGCCAATGTCCATTTTATCACCACTAATTGACAACACAGCAAACAAAGCATGCATTTGCCCAGAAATCTGCTTTCCAATTTCCATCTTGAAGCTGCGAAACATAAACTGTTACAAAAAAATACCATTTTTAATCAAAAGTTTTATAAAAATAAAATGACCGAATTTATTGTAGCTGCATTGCTAAGATGGTAAACGGAGTAATTTGGTTTAAATAATAATAATAATACTAATGAGCATCAGCTGCTCACCACTGTGCCGTTTTCTTCTTTCTTGATGAGGGACAGCATGCTGGTGAGGATGCGAGCGCACATGACCAGGTCCTTCTGCTCCTGCAGGTGGGTCTGCAGCACTCGGAGGACTACAGGTATTAGGATGCATCTGGACTCTGCAGAGCAAAGACACACAAATGTTTGAAGCCTTGGCAACAATTAGCAGAGGTATGCAAATAATAGTTTTTAACACCCCTTCACAGCTGCATTTGAAAGTCCTTAAAAGCATTTTAACATTTTTTTTTTGTAAAGTTGTCAAGCTAAAGGTAAGAACTGGAGAAAGTCATCTGACACCCTGGTTTTCAAAATAAAAGCCCCTGGTAGCGTCTGGAAACGCCTAAAGGCAGAACCTGCGCCGTTTTTGCCCACTGGTGGAACAAAGACTGTTAAGGGGATAACAAGGTTTCAGGCAAGTCTGCAACATTTTTGAGACTGTTTTGAAAAAAAGATACTACTTTAAAACGACAGCACTGTCATTTTCAGAATTTTACGTACAGCCTATGCTAATTGCTAGCCAATGGCAGCTACGTTGTTTACAGGACTAGATACAAACTATTACTAGCTATTTGACAGAACAGTACTTCAAAAATGTGACCCATCACATCAAAATCACCAAGTCTAAAAGTGGGATGTGGAGAAATACGCTGATGTTTTGATTAAAACGTTAGCAAAATTTGTATTTTGTCAAAAGCTAACAAATAAATGCCTTAGCATTGGATCATTTGAATGAACTGTTTGAAATATAATCCTAAAAAAATTCAAGAACATTTTTTGAGTAGTAGCAACAAAAAAATGACTTAAGATTGTGAGATTTTCCTTGTGAACTAGCAAAATTTTTGTTTCTTACCATCTCTATTGACGTAACTTACATAAAAATCAGGTTCAAACCAAATATTAATGTATTATCATAACCAATAAGATAAATTATGTCATATCTTTGGATCTGCTTATAATTTCAGGATGATGTAGGGATCAAAATGTAGCTTTTAAATCCAGGAATCTAAAAATGTGATTAGGTCATTTTGACCAAATTTGACTTCATCCTTATTTTAATATGATTGGTCACAAATGACCAAACTGATCAGTTTTATTGATAAAAGTTTTTTTTTTCTCAGAACATATGAAACGGTACTGGCTACATTTTTTATTACAGAAAATATTTGAAGATAGAGAAAATGTTTAAAAGTAATCAAATTAATTCAGCCTTTCAAAGGTGTTCCACAGGGTTCCATTCTCAGACCACTGCTTTTTTACTTGTTTATTATTGATTTACCTGAAATGAAACCTGTAAAACTGTATGCAGATGATGCGGTCATATATGTCACTGGCTGCAGTGTTACTGGACACTCAAATGATGGTTTATTAATAAATTGTTTTCCCTGAATTGCATCAAACGTGTCTCAATCATGCAAAAACTTTAACAGCTTTTGATCAAAGCAAATTCAAGAAAAATTAAACCATTGATCCTTTTCTGCAAGTCGTGCCTTTTATGTGTTAGAAGCAGCCATTTTGCACAAATGTCAACACATGCGCACTCATGTAAATCAGACCATACCTGGGTTAACGTAAAGCTGGCTTTCCACGGTCTTGGCGATGCACTGCAGTTTGACAGCCTCCARTGGACTGTCAGGCTGGACAACAGCAGGCAAGCTGGCCAACGTTTCTCTGGCAAAACCGGCCACCTCCCGCACCGTGAAGATCTTCAACAGCTCGCTATAGATTGCAGGGAARGTTCTCAGGAACACCGCCTGAACAGAGAAGGGAGGGGAGGAGACATTCAGTATGGGGGAGGGGAGGGCTAAATGAAACAAGCACCACCCAATTTTGTTAAAGTCATTAAAATCACTGTGTGGATACTTCACAGCCAAACGCCTTCAAGCTAGAAATTAGACCACAAAGAGCAGTAAAGGATATGAATATGCACTCATAATGTAGAAATCACTTTCCCCTGTAAGTTCAGTGCATCTTTTACTAAATCAGGATTGCATAATGTGAAAATAATCTTGTAAAGGAGGCTCAGTTGTCAAACTGCTGCAAAGCTCAATGAGCGAGTTCGGCAGTGACAAATGGGAAGCAGCTTAGGCAATTAGAGTTTATTAGACAAGATTCCTTAGCGTTGTAATAGGAATAAACAAGCAAGAGGAACACAAACCACTTCATGTTCTAATATATACACAGAGATGGTTTTCATAGCAAAAAGAAAAGTTAACTGATCCCTGAGCAGAAGCAGATATGGGTGGTAGCCAGGGTTTGTGTGGCTTGATTTGATTTGATTTATTTATTTAACAGGAAAGGATTATTAAAAATCAAGCCTGGCTCAGCATAATTGCTGTTTTACAGCAGGTTCCTGTTCTGCAGCACATAAAACACTCAGAATTACAGCATCACAATCACATCATTATACACCATAGACACAAAGACAAACAAGCATACCAAATTTCAGGAAGGCAGCATTTGCAAAATAAGACATCTAAATATGAGCACAACAAAAAGTGTCCAGCAGATGGCAGACAACTTAAGCTTAAACTGAAAGACTTCTGGGATTGTTGCCCAGCACTTGTTTATGGTTTTTCTGTTAGACGTTTTTTCTTCCTGTCAAGTTTTGTCAGATTCTTACTGTAAAATGAAAAATCAGAACTGCATCTTAACATATCTGCTTTTTATCATATTGCTTAAAGCTAATGAAGCTAATTAGGAGTTGTTCTTTTATAGTTGTTTTGATCAAACTATAAAAATGACTTTTTGCACAATTTATTAGCGTTCTTTGGAGGACTGAAACTGACATAATTAGAAATAAAAGCAGAAATATATAAATAGACAAATAAATAAATAAATACATACACTTTATGTTTTAGAACATATTTTAAATTTTGCTGTTTTTAAAAATTATATAATTTTGTTTTTCATTTTGCATTTGTGTCTCAAATGATTTTATTGATTTGTTTGTTTTTTTAGAATTTTTCTTAAAGTCTTTATTTTCATGTGTTGCTTTTACACCTCTGTTTCCTGTTTTTAAATTACCTTACGCATTTCTGCCTCATTATGCAATAAGTTGGGCGGTCCTTCCTTGATCAGCTTCTCTCCTATTGGTCAACAGACAGGAAGGAGCAGGAACCATGTGCTGATCRACTGTGCATGCTTGTGCTGCCTCAGTTTAGCTTAAAGTTTAGTTAAAAACAACTTACCTGTACCTTTGAGGTAAAGTTCTCCTGTTTTAATTTAATTGGCATTTTTTAATTGTATTTATTTATTTATTTCTGCTTTTTTGTCTAATTATGTCAGTTTTGGTCTTCCATAGAGTTCAGTACATGCATTTTAAATCACATTTACCTACAACTCTATTAGCATTTAGCTCAATATTTGCAACACCCAAGCTATTTTTCACTCATAAGTATTCAATGGGAACACCTCTGTAGTATCTGGTTGTGCAAACCACATGTGAAATGTGTATGTATGGTGGTCAGTGCGGGCACCACGTGTAACAGATTAATGGGGATTAACAGCAGCCTGACCTGCATCCTCCCACAGCTATTGTTTTGTTGGGAATGAAGATTAATCCAGATCAGACGTCAGTAGAGGGCTGAAACAAAGCTTTGCAGATGTACGGTACACTTACAGTGTGACTCTAGCAGCTTTAAATCAGCCTGAAAGGGACTGAGAAGCTGTTTTAAATACAACAAGCTGTTGTAATTTATAGCTGTTCAGATGAAGACAAAAGATCAACATAAAAAAACAATCCTGACAATAGTGCTCAGCTACATAACCACACAAGAATTTGTTCCCAGTGTGTAATTAGGATTATCTTTGGCATCTTTAGCTTGCTTGTTTTGGTTTTGGTTGAAATCAGCTAAAGCGGTGGCCCTGCTGCGCGAGACCTCCCAGCGGAAAAGAAGAAGCTGTCCCAAAATAAATAAATTCCTTCCGCAACTCCAAACACCCCCTTCTGGCAGCGTGAAATTCAATTACAGCCAATTTCTCCCCAATCACAGGCGCATTAACGGGGATTTCTCCACAAAGAAAAACAAACAGCACGAGGCGCAGATTCGCACATTTGTTGAAGGGAATGTTGGAACACACACCTGGGTCTGTGCGACAGGACTGGTGCCTTTGTTCTCCTGCGACAGGAAGAAGCGGATGGACATGAAGAGCTCGTGGATGCAGACTCTGAACTCCTCCTCGTTCTGGCCTCCCGTGGCCAGTGAGAAGAGCCGGCGGGATTGGATGATGTACTTGAAGATGTACTCGCTGGCCTAAAGGACAGGGACAGCAGCTCTTTATTATTTGTGTCCATGTTTACTGGGCTTTAGATGTGTTTCTCTTAAAGCAGTGGCTCAGATATTTTAAAATGTGGTCCTGTGGTAAGATAATGGACTATAAATATCTTACCTGTTGCAGATAGCGCTTTAAAGAACCTCATTTTGGAGAAACAGACTTTAATTCTGACCTGGCTAAGCTAATGGCTAGTTAGTTTAGTTTAGTTTATTAAATTTATTAATTTCTTTAAAAAAATATAACAAATTCTATAT